GGTCTGAACTGATTACTTTCTCTGCAGGTGACGGCTCAGAAAAGAACGCCAGATCATTTTCTGCAAGGCTTTGGGGTTTTTCACCAGTGGCCTTTGACTGAAGTCTGCTGCTTCGCCGGACCGGCTCTGTATAGAGATTTCTTTTTCGTTTAAGCGGTCGCGAAGTCTCTGAAGATCTACAAGGCACCAGTCATAGAACGGTGCAAGAGGTATGAAAAACAGTCTTACTTTTTCCCAATCGGACGAATGTCTGATAGCAATGCCTTTGAAACCTATGCAAACATTAAAATTTAGAAAAAACAAAATCGACGGACACAACAAGCAAAACATACTTCTTCCATTCCTAATGATCTCATCAACCTCTGACTTTCAAGTATATTTTTTTCGCGTAGCCTTTCATACTCAGAAACTTCTTCCATTGTGACTGAAACGGAATATTATCGAAACAAAAAGAAACAATATCCAAAAACTGCACTGTAGAGTTCACTTTTTTATAGTTTAAAAAATGTAAGTTAAAATTTATAGGTGCATTTTTTGGATTACCATGAGTAGCGCAATTGGGCTCTCTGAAGTGCTGTTGATGTCTTCCAACAAAGGGCATTGGAGAATGATGAAAGTAGGACCTTTAAGCATGCAGACGTCAGGAACGCAGGGGAGAGGACGTTCGATTTAGCCACAGCTGTACCCACGAAAGTTGGTCTTCAAACAATGAACTAGCCCAGCATGTATCCATAAGCCATAGAGCAAAATCTGCCTAGGAAAAAGATTCTGCCACTACGAACCCGGACGGAAAGAAAGATGGCAAAGGACCTGGAGTCACCATTTATGTTAATTATGAAACAAATATTATTATTTAGCCTTCGATCGCCGTACTAATTACATAAGTAAGCGAGCTGGCATGAACATGTTTAATTTCAGAAAGATCGGACAAAATAGAAAGAGGATGGGATGAAATTGTGTCGCACGATGTCACGGAAACACTTACATATTACTATGCCTGATGTTGTAGGCACAGGAGAAACTGCCCATCTTCGAGAATAATGTCTACGCACCCACCATTACCCGAAGTAAAACGTACTGGATACTGACCAAAGCATAACATCTAAGATACAAGGGGTGGAAACGAGGCTACACTGGGTTCCTGGAGTGATACACAATCTTACG